TCCTCAGGACTGCTTTTGCTGTGTTCCACAAGTTTCTTTGTGAGGTGTTTTCATTTTCATTGAGTTGTAGGAAATGTTTTATTTCTTCTCTGATCTGTTCTGTTACCCAGGCATTGCTAAGGAGTGTGCTGTTCAATTTCCATGTATTAGAGAAATTTCTGTGGTATGCTTAGTTATTGAGAACCAGCTTGATTCCACTGTGGTCAGATAGGATACAGGGGATTATGTTGATCCCTTTGTATTTGCTTAAGTTCCTTGCAGGAACTATGATATGGTCTATTTTGGAGAAAGTTTCATGAGCTGCTGAGAAGAATGTGTACTGTGTTGTATTAGGGTGAAATACTCGGTAGATGTCAGTTAATTCCTCTTGAAGTATGGCCTCACTTAATTCGGTAGCTTCTTTGCCAATCCTCTGGTTGGTAGACCTGTCCTTTGGTGAGAGTGGCGTGTTAAAGTCTCCTAGTATTATCGTATTGGGATCTATTTTATTCTGTATGTTTGAGAGCATTTGTTTAACATATCTGGGTGCACCAATATTTTGGGCATATAAGTTGATGATGGTAATATCCTCCTCTTGGATTGTTCCCTGTATTAATATGTAGTGTCCGTTCTTGTCTTTCTGTACTCATTTTAATGAAAAGTTTATTTTGTCAGATATCAGGATAGCTACCCCTGTTTTCTTACTGTGGGCATTTGATTGGTAGATCTTTTTCCAACCCTTTACTCTGAATTTGTTTCTATGTTTGGCTGAGAGGTGGGTCTCCTGAGGGCAACAGATGGATGGGTCTTGTTTTCTGATCCAGTCTGCAGTTCTTTTCCTTTGGATTGACGAATTAAGCCCATTAATATTAAGAGAAAGTATAGAGAGATGCATTGTTGTCCCTGCCATTCCGTTTTCCTAAGTTTTTCTTCTTTCCTTTCCTCCTGTGCTTGATCAGTTAGACTTTGAGTAATGCCTGTGTGGGGCAGGTCCCAGTTCCTGGTTGCTCTCTTCAGGTTGTGTCCCCCCTCTTAGAATTATTTGTAATGCTGGCTTAATGTTTATGTATTCATTTAGTTTTTCTTTGCTATTAAAAATATTCAGTTCTCCATCGAATGTGAATGCTAGCTTTGCTGGGTATATCGGTCTGGGTTGGCAGTTATTGGCTCTCAGGGCTCATATAGTGCTTTCCCAGGCCTTTCTTGCATTCAGTGTTTGTGTGGAAAGATCTGCAGTGATTCTAATCTTTTTCCCATTGTAGTATAGCTCCTTCTTCATTTTTGCTGCATGCAAGATTGTTTCCTTATTATTCAGATCTATCATTTATACTATACTGTGTCTAGGAGTGTTTCTCCTGGGATCTTCCTTGTTGGGTGTTCTATATGCTTCTGTTATGTAGGTAAGATGTTCTTTTTTGAGGTGGGGAAAAATTTCACCGATTATCTTGTTGAATAGGTGTTGCATTCCCTTGCTCTGAAATTCCTCACCTTTGTCCACTCCAATTATACGAAGGTTAAATTTCTTGGCATTATCTGCTTGCTCTTGAATTTCCCTTTGGCTTAATTTGAATGATTTTTCCACATCTGTCACTTTTTGGTCCAGTTGGTGTATTCTGTCTTCTGTATCTGACACTCTACCTTCCATTTCGTTCACTCTGTTGACAGTGGCTTCTATTGTGGTTTGCATGGAGGAAATGGATTCCTCTATGGATTCAATGTTGGTTCTCAAAGAACTGATCTCACCTCTTAATGAGGTACGTATTACCTCTAATTTGGCATTTATCTCACTTCTTCTTACTGAGGTTTGTGCAGCATCTATTTTTTTCATGCATCTCCTGCTTGACATCCTGTATCTCTTTTGATAGTTCATCCTTGTACTCTTTCAATTTCTGATCTATTTCTCACTTTATTTCTTGAGTCATTGCCTCCAGCAACCCTTGGATGTAGCTTTTGTCTTCCATTCATGCCTTGCTCCCTCTGGGGCTCTCCCCTGTGTGTCTGCTGGCTATTGATTTTCGCATGGGAGTTCAGGAGACTAATCTCCAATTTTGTTTTGGTGTGTCTGTCTTTGCTTCGTTGCTGATTCTGTATTGGTAGAGAGAGTGTGTGCCTGATCTGATTTCTGTTGGGGTCCTACCTCCAGCTGCTGGTCTGACCTAATTAGAATTCTTGGCTCTCTGCTGTAGATCGCTGGCAATTCCCGCCTTTGGAATGATTGAGCAGCCTAGACTGCTCGTGTTTGCTCCTAAGGGTGCTCTGGGCCAGATTGGATGCTCTGGATGTACTCTTCCAGATGCTGGAGAATACTATGGGCTCCTGATGGTTTTTTTTTTGTTATTTGTTTGTTTTTTGGGCTGGTTGTGGGCTTGAACTCTAGGTTTGGGTGCTGTCCCTCAGCTCTTCAGCTCAAGGCTGGTACCCTACCATTTGAGCCACAGCACCACTTCTGACCCTTTTTGCTTATGTGATGCTGAGGAATCAGATCCAGGGCCTCATGCATACAAGACTATCACTCTACTTCTGAGCCGCCTTATCAGCCTGAGCTCCTGCTTACTATCAGGTGCTAGCGGCCTGTGTTGCCCAATTCCCAGCCTAGAGTATATGGGTGGGGTTTTGGTGGGGTTTGGGCTTCTCTTGTCTTGAGCCTCCAGGTCTTTTGTTGTCGCAGGCGTGCTTCCCAGGGGGTACAGTTCCCTGTTTTTCTCCCCTCTGCTGAGGCGTATGCTCAGCTTTTGACTTCAGTTAGGAGGAGTTGGTTGTATTGTTCAGGCGCCAGATTCCCAGGCCTGGTTCTGGCCCCCACCTGGAGTGTGCCGGTTGGGCCTGTGCTGCTGTGTATACCACCTAGGTTATGCAGCCTGGGGTACACAGTTCAAATTTCTTCTACTGTTGGTTGTCTTGACCCAGGGGCGCTGTTCCTGGCTTGGGTGCTTAAGCTCCCTTCCAGGGGCACTCTTGCTCTAGCCTGGCCAGCTGAGTGTGCTCCACGGGCTGGTGGAGCTCTCGAACAGTTCCCAGTTTTATTGGGTCCTGTGGTGTGGGTGTTGGGGTAGGGAGTCTGAGTTAGGGTCTGGGGATTCCCTCCAGCTCTGGTCTCCCTTGAGGGATACACTGTCCCCTGTGGGGTACTCAAACTGGAGCTAGTTGTTTCTGTGTGGTGTAGGTCATCAGTTGTGGTTGCAATCCAAGTTCTGTTGGGGTGGTTGCGGGCTGGGCTGGGCAGTGGTGGCTCTGTATGATTCTCTTCTGTCTCTGCCTCTGTCGAAGCTGTCGGGTCCACAGTGTCCACGCTCAGGCGGCTTCTGCACGGGTGGTCTGCAGGCAGCCCCCTGTGCCTCTGGGACCCCAGCGCCCCCCTCCGAGTCGTCGCGGTGATTTGTTCTTTATAAACTAGGAACACATGGATCAGTTTACTCTGTAACTTGGTACAAAGAATTTCACAAAAACTGATGGCTGGTGGTGACCCATGCCACCCAGCTCCTTGGAAGGTGGAGATCAATGTTCAAGGACAGCCTCCCACAATATGAGAATCCATCTGCATCAGCAGGCTGGGTGCAGCTGTGCAGACCTGTGACACAGCTGTTTGAGAGTCTGTAGGGAGCAGTATGGCCATCCAAAGTCAGCCCTGGCCAAAACTCAAGACCCTCCCTGAAAAAATAACCTAAAGCAAAAAGAGATGGGCCATCTGCCAAAGAAGCAGAAAGAGGAAGAGGAGGAGGAGAAAAAGGGAGGAAGAGGAGGAGGAAGAGGAGAGGGCGGAAGACTCATGGCTGACATCATTCCAGGCTGTCCACTAAGGACAGGCCTGGAGCTGCAGGCCTCCCTGCCGTCCCACAGCCCACAAAGGGCTGCCAGAGAGACAAGACCAGGAAGGAAATAGAAAGCCACCTTCTGGAAGGCACAGTCTGTGTGTCTGGCAGGGGACCTGGTTGGCCTCAAGAATAGAGGGTGGAAGGATGGGAACTGAAAACAGCAAAAGCAGCTGGTCAGTGCTATTCCAGTGTTCTGTAGGAAGCAGTGGGGTTGGGTGTTTTAGTTTTTCTTCTATCCATAAGTCTTAAACTCTGGGTCTGGGCTCTGTCCCAGGGCTCCTTTGGCTCAAGGCCAGCACTCTACCACTTGAGCCACAGCGCCACTTGAATTGAGTTCTGTCTATGTGGTACTGAGGAATCAAATACAGGGATTCATGGATGTGAGGCCAGCACTCTACCACTAAACCACATTTCCAGCCCTGATGTTTTAATGTTAAAACATCTGATTTACACGACAATAAAATGTGACAATGTTGATATGAATCACAAAAACCCAGAAGGAAGAGATGGCCTGAGATATGAGGAGTCAGGGGCTGGTGGGTGGCTAATTGATGCCACACCCAACAAGACCAGTCCTGACCTCCGGGGGCCTCTGTGGTGGGAGGGAGGGAAGAGAAGAAAGGTGAGCATTACACATCTCACGCCTCATACTTAACGGAAAAGCTAAAGACTGGCTACTGGCCTAAACACACAAGGGAGAAATGTTTGCTCTTTAGAGGAAAAACTGTGCTGCTTATTTGTGTGTGTGAGGGCAGTACTAGAGCTTGAACTTGGGGTCTGGGCACTCTCCCTGAGCTGTTTTTGCTCAAAGCTGGTTTCTACCACTTGAGCCACAGCTCTAGTGCTGGATTTTGGTGGTCCATTGGAGATATGCATCTCATGGACTTTCCTGCCAGGCTGGCTCTGAACTGTGATCCTCAGATCACAGCCTCCTGGGTAGGTAGGACTACAGGCATGAGCCACAGCAGGTCACATTCTATGGTCCTGCGCTAAGACAGAATTCACACATGCCATAAAAGGAAAGAAAGGCTGACTAATCGACTTCATCAATATTAAACTCTTCTGTTTGCTAAAATACGGTCAAAATCACAAAAAGCCAGACCCAGTCCAGTAGAAAATGTGTGACCAAAGTAGCTGTATCCAAACCATGACTCCACACGCCCGTTCCAGTGGCTGACGCCCAGGGCTGCATGTCAATCATGAAGGAGGATGTGGGGCCCTGTGGAGCGAGGGAAGGGCTGCCGCCACAGAACCTTCTGGGAAAGGGGCACGTTAGGGAAACCAGCACATCGCCGGCCATCAGAAAGAGCGCCCAGCCCGGCCGTGAGAACCAAGCGCACCTGCTCCAATGGCCCAGGCCACGAAGAAAACAAGGCCCTTGCGTGCTGGCAGGGATGCCAGCAGCCGGACTCTCGGAGCCTGCTGGACAACCGCAAGACGGCCTGGCCATCAGGAGGCCGCGTGGCGGTGTCTGTGAAGCTCAGCACGCAGCGGCGTAGACCCAGCCCCCATGCACGGGTATTTAGTCTAGAGAAATGAGAACTCATGACCATGCCAAAACCCGTGCACAGTGCTGTTTGTGCAAGCTGGCTTGCAACACCACAAGCCGGAGTCCAGCACTGAGTGGGGACCGTGGTGCGCCCAGCCCACACAGAGTTCCCCTCTGAGTAGTGACAGCCCTGGCAAACACGGGCGCCATCTTGGCGGAATCCCGAGTGTCTGCTGAGCACAGAGGCGGCCGCGCAGGCTGCGGTGAGACCACGCCACGCTGTGCCCGGCGGACGCCCGGCGGTGTACACAGCGCGGTAGTGTGGGTGCGGAGGGTGTGTGCGCAGGCCCTTTGGGGAGGTGGGTTCTGGTGGCCGTGGCGGTGCATTCATGACTGTGTGCTGTCAGCTCTCAGCTGCAGCGCAGTGGCGTGGGGGGCTCGGGTCCGGGCGCAGGTTCTGTGTCACCAGCCAGGACCGCGTGGCGCTCTCCCCGCGTTGGGGTTGCCTTCCTCTGGCTGTGTCCTGTGCGGGGGCTGTGTGCGCTCCACAGCTCTTGTGGCCATGAGATCTGGACGCTGTTACCTCCCTCGCTCTGGTAGGCTGTGGGCTGTGGGCCGGGGGCCGCAAGGAATCCAGCATTTCTCCCGGACAGTGGAGATTTCAGGGGCTTCGTGTACTGCAGACCCCAGCCTGCAATGCGAAAGTTGGGCGTCCATCTCTTTCTGGAGCCTGGAGCCTTTTCTTTCTGTGCTGGGCCTCGGATGGCAGAGGCGCTGTCATTTTTACGTCTCTGGGGGCCTCTGTGTGACTGAGACCCTCATGCTCCCCCCAACACACCCACTGAAAAGCTGCCCTCTAGAAGAATCCGCTTCCTCCCTGGAGTTCTCCTTCATCTTCACCTCCGACAATCAGTACTGGGCTTGACAACTTGTGTCTGGGGCGTCTGCTCCTCCGTCCTTCTGCCTCCTCCCCTGCCCATCGGCCCCGGTTGCGGCGCACCGCTCTGTGTGGCTTAGGCGCAGGACCGGACCTCCCGGCCTCTCCCCTCCAGGCCCAGCAGGTCTTGGTAGCCGAGCAAGGTCATCCTGCACCGGCTGTGGCCCAGCGCACAGAGGCTCGTCTGCGCGGCCTTTCCCTCCCTATGTGTTTGTGCTGTGCCGGCAGAACAGGGCCTTGTGTAAATACACCAGAATTAATGAGGACCCAGAAGCCAGCGCAAAACAGTAACAAGGAAGGGCCACCAACAAGGAAGGGCTGACGCCTGGAGTGTCCGGCTGAAAACACCTGACCTGTATAAAAGCCCAGGAGCCCAAGCACCTCACACTCACTCACACTCACTCCCACACTCACACCTCCCGCTCCTCCCAGCCCCGCCGCCTTGGCCGCCTCCACCATGTCCGTCTGCTCCGACGCCTGCATCCACGCCTCCTGGCAGGTGGACGACTGCCCAGAGAGCTGCTGCGAGCCCTGCGGCGCCCCCAGCTGCTGCCAGCCCCGCGGCTGCGCCCCCGCCCCCTGCCTCACCTTCCTCTGCTCCCCAGCGGGCTGTGCGTCCAGCCCCTGCTGCCAGTCCGTCTGCGCCAGCTGCTGCACACCCTCCTGCTGCCAGCCGTCTAGCTGCCAGCCCTGCTGCTGCCCCTGCTCAGCCGGCCAGCCGTCCTGCTGCGTGCCTGTGTGCTGTAAGCCTGTGTGCTGTGAGCCCGTGTGCTGCAGACCCGTGTGCTGCAGACCCATGTGCTGTGAGCCCGTGTGCTGCACACCCGTGTGCTGTGAGCCTGTGTGCTGCAGACCCATGTGCTGTGAGCCTGTGTGCTGTGGGGCTTCCTCCTGCTGCTGCCAGCCGTCCAGCTGCCAGCCCTGCTGCCGCCCCTGCCCGTCCTGCCCGCTGTCCTCCAGCGTGTCCCTGCTGTGCAGGCCCGTTTGCAGGCCCGCCTGCTGCGTGCCCACCTCCTCCTGCTGTGCCCCCTGCTGCCAGCCCGGCTGCTGCCGCCCGGCGGCCTCGTGCGTGTCCCTGCTGTGCCGCCCTGCCTGCTCCCGCCAGGCCTGCTGTGGCGGCTCCCCAGGCCAGTGCAGCTGCTGATGGGCACGGCCCGGGGACAGTGGGCCTTTCCCTATCATGAAGACATGCAGAGGTGCCCTAGCTGTCCACTGAGCTGACCTGATCATCCTCTCCCTCCTCCCTGTTCTCTCCTTCCTCCCCCCTCCTCTGCTCCACCTCACATCACCTTGACTGCCAACATTATCAATAAACTCACAGATCACCACATCTCCTGCTCTCCTTGTTGGGGTTTGAGCGGACGTCAGCTCGCAGGCCACGGCCTCTAGGAACAAAGGTGGGACTCAGGGCCACGTCTACTCCAAGGGGAGCTGCTCTGTGAGACCCCACCACTCACAGTCACCCCTGGCCACTGAGCAGTGACCCAACGCGAGTGCTGCTGGCGGAGGCTGGGCCACCGCTACCGGGTGCCTGGCCCGTCCCGCTGCGGTGTCCAGCAGAGGGGACATTCGTCCTGGCAGTGCCAACAGAACTGGGCAGGCCTCACAGAGCAAATGTCCCGGGACCCTGCCACACATCTGGGGAAGTAGCATGTCTGCACCTGCACCTTAATTAAAGCCCACACGGGGCTGGCGGCTCAGGCCAGTGCAGCTGTGTCAGCCGCCCGCACGCCGGGCCTCCCGCTGGGTGTGATGAACTCTTCAGTTCTCTAGAATGTTCTCCTGTGGACATCACCCCACCTCAGATGGGCTGGCCTCTCAACGTCTGTGTGTTGCATCATTTGGCTTTATTATTTGTTCAGGTCCAGGGACTTGAATTCAGGCCTGATCACTGTCCCCGGGCTTTTGTGTTCAAGGCTAGTGCTCTACCACAGCTCCAGTTCCAGTTTTCTGATGGTTAACTGGTGATGAATCCCTAGAACTTTCCTGCCCAGGTTGGCTTTGAACCATGATCCTCAGATGTCAGCCTCCTGCATAGCTAGGATTACAGGCAAGAGTCACTGGCTCCCAGCTTGTGTCTTAGGTTATTTTAAAGGACCTTCCTTGTTTTTGTTTAATATGCTTAATTTGTTTTGTTTTTCTAATTCTGGAGCATGTGGAATATAATGGGCACTGCTGGGTGACAAATCGGAGGTAGGTGGACATCAGTGGGAGCTGCTCGGTGACACGTCTGTGATTGGTGGACACTTTCCCCATGTTTTCTTCTCTTCAGTAATTGGTGGATTTTAGTGGGACCTTCACATGGTGGCTCTCGTGTGTGTTGTAATCCTGTTGGGTTACTTTGTTCGAGGGTGTTATAGGCTACTGGGATGCTTGCCCTGGTACAAGAGAGGTGGGAGGAGGGATGGAAGGAGGGAAGGAGAAAAAAAGGAAGGAAGGGAGGGAAAGACAGAGAAAAAGGCAGGCAGGCAGGCATGCAGGAAGGAAGGAAGGCAGGAAGGAAAGAAGGAAGGAAGGAAGGAAGGAAGGAAGGAAGGAAGGAAGGAAGGAAGGAAGGAAGGAAGGAAGGATGGGTGGGTGAACGGGGCTGTCTTGGGAGGTGGCAGCACTATTTCTCATTCCCCCAGGAGCGGGTCCACCACCGTGCCACACTCTTGCCCACATTTGCTGCTGTCAGTTTTGGATTTTGGGCACTCGAATAGCTGTGTACTTGTGTCAAGTGGTTACTTAATGTGCACTTATCAAGTGATGGAGCATCTTTGCATGCACCTCTCAGCCACCTGTGTGTCTTCTGTGGCAAAGTGTTTATCCACCCTTGTTTATTTTTGGTTCAGGTTGTTTTCTTATACTTCTTAAAAGGTCTTTGTAATTATGGGTAGCAGCTTTACCACACGTGTCTCTTGCAAATATTTTCTCTGACATCTCTTTCCTTCAAGTGATTTCTTTCTTGATTTCAACTTAAAATCGCTCCAACAAGGTCCAAATTGTCCATTAGAGAAGTCTATGAAAATTTCAAAGATAAAAAGAATGATGGTTCTATATAACGCGGGGGGTGGGGGGGGAAGGGGACATCAATACACTGAAGTCCAAACCTAGGGCATTTCAGAAAACTATGCAGCAGGATAATGTGTTACGACAGGGCTGGCTTTCCCCAGGAATGCAAGGCTAGCTCAGTCCTGGAGAATCAATCAATACAACCCGAAAAGGAAAGAATGTGGTAGTATGGATGGATACTCTGGGAAGCTACAGAACTCAACACCAAGTCACCATTTGTGATCTTTTCTTTATAAAGTAGGAACACATGGATCCGTTTACTCTGTAACTTGGTACAAAGCATTTCACAAAGACTGGCGGCCGGTGGTGGCCCATGCCTCCCAGCTCCTTGGAAGGTGGAGATCAATGTTCAAGGACAGCCTTCCACAATGTGAGAATCCATCTGCATCAGCAGGCTGGGTGCAGCTGTGCAGACCTGTGACACAGCTGTTTGAGAGGCTGTAGGTAGCAGTATGGCCATCCAAAGTCAGCCCTGGCCAAAACTCAAGACCCTCCCTGAAAATATAACCTAAAGCAAAATAAGATGGGCCATCTGCCAAAGAAGCAGAAAGAGGAAGAGGAGGAGAAGGGGAAACAGGAAGGAAGAGGAGGAGGAAGAGGAAGGGAAGAGGGAGGAAGACTCATGGCTGACATCACTCCAGGGGTCCAATTCAGAAGGCTGTCCGCTAAGGACAGGCCTGGAGCTGCAGGCCTCCCTGCCGTCCCACAGCCCACAAAGGGCTGCCAGAGAGACAAGACCAGGAAGGAAACAGAAAGCCACCTTCTGGAAGGCACAGTCTGTGTCTCTGGCAGGGAACCTGGTTGGCCTCAAGAATAGAGGGTGGAAGGATGGGAACTGAAAACAGCAAAAGCAGCCGGTCGGTGCTATTCCAGTGTTCTGTAGGAAGCAGTGGGGTTTGGTGTTTTAGTTTTTCTTCCAGCCCTGGGCCTTAAACTCTGGGCCTGAGCTCTGTCCCAGGGCTTCTTTGGCTCAAGGCCAGTACTCTACCACTTGAGCCACAGCGCCACTTGAATTGAGTTCTGTGTATGTGGTACTGAGGAATCAAATCCAGGGATTCATGTTTGTGAGGCCAGCACTCTACCACTAAGCCACATTTCCAGCCCTGATGTTTTAATGTTAAAACATCTGATTTACACGACAATAAAATGTGACAATGTTGATATGAATCACAAAAACCCAGAAGGAAGAGATGGACTGAGATATGAGGAATCAGGGGCTGGTGGGTGGCTAATTGATGCCACACCCAACAAGACCAGTCCTGACCTCCGGGGGCCTCTGTGGTGGGAGGGAGGGAAGAGAAGAAAGGTGAGCATTACACATCTCACACCTCATACTTAACGGAAAAGCTAAAGACTGGCCACTGGCCTAAACACACAAGGGAGAAATGTTTGCTCTTTAGGGGAAAAACTGTGCTGCTTATTTGTGTGTGTGAGGGCAGTACTAGAGCTTGAACTTGGGGTCTGGGCACTCTCCCTGAGCTGTTTTTGCTCAAAGCTGGTTTCTACCACTTGAGCCACAGCTCTAGTGCTGGATTTTGGGGGTTCATTGGAGATAAGCGTCTCATGGACTTTCCTGCCAGGCTGGCTCTGAACTGTGATCCTCAGATCACAGCCTCCTGGGTAGGTAGGACTACAGGCGTGAGCCACAGCAGGTCACATTCTATGGTCCTGCGCTAAGACAGAATTCACACATGCCATAAAAGGAAAGAAAGGCTGACTAATCGACTTCATTAATATTAAACTCTTCTGTTTGCTAAAATACGGTCAAAATCACAAAAAGCCAGACCCAGTCCAGTAGAAAATGTGTGACCAAAGTAGCTGTATCCAAACCATGACTCCGCACGCCCGTTCCAGTGGCTGATGCCCAGGGCTGCTGTCAACCACGAAGGAGGATGTGGGGCCCTGTGGAGCGAGTGAAGGACTGCCGCCACAGAACCATCTGGAAAAGGGGCACTTTAGGGAAACCAGCACATCGCCGGCCATCAGAAAGAGCGCCCAGCCCGGCTGTGAGAACCAAGCGCACCTGCTCCAATGGCCCAGGCCACGAAGAAACCAACAGGGCCCTTGCGTGCTGGCAGGGATGCCAGCAGCCGGACTCTCGGAGCCTGCTGGACAACCGCAAGCGGCCCGGCCCTCAGGAAGTAGACACAGGGCACAGTGACCAAAGAGACAGAAGACAGGGTCTCCACAACCAGACCTGCTGGTCACTCGGTACCGCGGGCAACGGGGGCTGCCCTGGCCGTGCTTCCCCCCGGCCGCGCTTCTCCCCCTCAGCCGCGCTTTCCCCGGCCCTGCTTTCCCCCTGGCCGCACTTCTCCCTGGCCCTGCTCCCCTCCCCCCCCGCCCCCACCCCCACTTCTCCCTCGGCTTTGCTAACTCCCGGCCCCACTTCCACTCGACCGCAATTCCCCCTGACCCGCTCCCCCCCCTCCCGCTACCCCCCCAGCTCTGGTCCCACCCCTCCCCGCTCCCTCCCTCCCCCCCCCACGCTTCCCTGTGGGGTGGGTGGAGCTGGCCCACGGCTCAGACCAGCACAGACGTGGTGCAGCTCAGCCACAAACGAGCAGCTGCCACGGAGCTGCAGAGAACCACAAACACAAACAAGAGCCGACACACAACCAGGAAGAGGAAGGACTCACGGAGCCCCAGCGGAGACAACACAACAGCTCAGCGGTGTATAAATGCTGACCTCTGAGTGCTTCCCTCACACACTCACACACTCACACCTCCCGCTCCTCCCAGCCCCGCCGCCATGGCCGCCTCCACCATGTCCGTCTGCTCCGACGCCTGCACCCACGCCTCCTGGCAGGTGGACGACTGCCCAGAGAGCTGCTGCGAGCCCTGCGGCGCCCCCAGCTGCTGCCAGCCCCGCGGCTGCGCCCCCGCCCCCTGCCTCACCTTCCTCTGCTCCCCAGCGGGCTGTGCGTCCAGCCCCTGCTGCCAGTCCGTCTGCGCCAGCTGCTGCACACCCTCCTGCTGCCAGCCGTCTAGCTGCCAGCCCTGCTGCTGCCCCTGCTCAGCCGGCCAGCCGTCCTGCTGCGTGCCTGTGTGCTGCAGGCCCATGTGCTGTGAGCCCATGTGCTGCAGGCC